AAAGAAAGAAGAGGAAGATGATAAGGATCACCTTCTTGTTGCCAATAGTGAAGAAAAAAATAATAATAATAATAATAATATATATATATATATATATATATATCGAGACATTAAAGTCAATTAGGGTAAATTGACACACACATCACATACGTAAGACTCAAACCCAAGATCATTTGGTTGGTAGCCAAAACTCTCAACAAACAGACCAAGTGGAGTTGTCCTCTTCAGAACATACACGTAAGCTGCAAGCTAATGAAAAGGGTAACCTTTACAACACAAAGCCAAAATAGAAAGTTGAAAAATGATAGAAAAATGTCCCCTTTTTTGGTGCAATTATTTTGTGCGGATATGGATGTCATACGGAGGCGAATTAGAACATGCCACATCACCCGTTTGCCGTTTAACATTGTGTACCAGGTAATGTGACACATTCTGATTCATCTCCGAACAGTCCATAATCCGCACATAATAATTTCTCCTTTTTTTGGGTGTTCTTCAAAATTAAAGCGAGCCAATCAGAGAGAGAGAGAGAGAGAGAGAGAGAGAGAGAGAGAGAGAGAAGCAGGAAAACTGAAGGGAAAGATGAAGCAAAGGAGATGTTTCTGATCTCATAATCTTGTTATATGTGAGAAATCTTGTTATATAAACCTCTTCCAATTTGCAAGAATAATTGTAAAACAAGATTTCGAATCCTTTCGATTCGAACTCTGATGATGAATTTGTTTCGAAACTTGAGATCCATGCGGTTCAGAAGTCTGAGGAGACAACTCAGGAAGTTAATGAATGCCTGAAGATTGCTGAAAACATCAGGGAAGATGCTACTGGGACTCAGTCACCTTGCATGAACAAGGTGAGCATATCAACCAGACTCATCAAACTGCAGTTCAAGTAGATAAGGACCTATTAAACCTTTTTATCCTTAAACAATGAATATAAATGCTAGAAAAAGATAATGGTTTTGGAGTTGTTTGATCGGAAGCATTAGGAGTGTATTGTATTCATTTTTCTTGTATTCAAGTTTTGTTGTTATTTGATTTGAAGTAATGAAAAAACTCAAACTTTTGTTTTTCCTTCATTAGAGTATCGCCCAAATTGGGAGAGAAATTATTCTGTGCAGAGGTCGGATGAGAAGAATAGTCCGGACTGTGAGTTCTTCCCGTCCGGATTCCGCACAGAATAATTTCTCCTGAATTAGATGATATCCAAATCCCATGCTACAGCCACTCTTGTCTTTCATCTGACACCGACGCCCGTCACAATTAAATGCATTTAAAATATATCATAAAAAAACAAAAAAATTTAATGCATTTGATTTGCACCCAACAACACACCATATGCACTTGTAATCTACATTCATTCAAATTATCCTGTATTTCAAAAATACAAGTATTTTAAAAGCAAACACTTAAACATTCACAAATTCATGAAATCAATCAAAAGAAAATGTCATTTAACATTATGGTAATCTGGTGGTTAGTGAATGATCTTCATGGAAAATGATTCTCATCATCATCAATATTATAATTACCCTTGTTCCAATTATCTGGTAAGACTTTGTCTAACCAGTTCTCCTTAGCTTTAAATGATCAACAGGGGGAATCACTTTTGGGTAGTTTAGTAGGATGTTTCTCAAATCTCAAAGACCTGGAAGCCGAATACAGCCAATAAATTTTCATCAATGGAACTTGATTATGTTTTCAAGTAGCTCGGCGTCTAGATTTAGATGCAGAAAAATCATTTGTAAAAGATCAGAAGTGCAAAGAAAAGAGAGAAACTGGGTTACTCACAGGCAGATGCAAAACAATGGCAATGTGTTGAATTCAAATCAGTCCTGGAGAAAGTGGAGGTAGGAAGTTTTCCCCAGTATGAATATAAAAAACAAGCAAATTGCACCATTGAATACCACTGATGTACTCTATGATTTAATTTTTAATAGGTAGAGAAGACGAAGCAAGATATATTATTGGATTTAAATGATTTATTGCGGCATGGCCGCCGACATGGGAACTGAGCTAGATAGTTGAATCAGAGCAATAGTTCTCAAAAGAAATTGATGAGTGCTTGTTTTAGCACAAGGATAAGAAGCACTCACAGATCTCATTGATATAATTCTCCTTTTCAGCTTCTCAATCTGTCCTCAAAGCCAGAGTTGGCAATTCCTTCAAACCTGCGGGCAAAACAAAGCTTTGGATGTTTTGAGTGATGATATTGAAGAGCTAAACTCAAAAGTCAAGGGAGCAGATCAGTTTTGCTCTCATTTTTTACATAAAACACTTCATTTTTACATAAATTGAATAACAACTTTCCTATATCGATTAAATGCTAGCAGATCTGATTGTAAAAAATTACCTCATATTACAATTTTTTTTTGGCAGCTCAAGGGGATTCAAACTTGAGCATCACAGAAGAAAGGAAGTGCTTCGCTCAACCAGCGAGCCGCACGCGCGATCTCACAAAACTTTTCAAAAACAATAAAAAATTTGTGGCCAAACAAATGGTTAAATATGATTTTGTTTCACAAACTACCTATGACATCAGTTGACATCACGAAAAGTTACAAAGTCCTTCCCACATCACCACATATCTTATTGACATTAGCAAAAATCAATGTCATTCCAGTGTTAAGTGTGAGCTGAACAACAACAATAAAAGTATCCCAATTCCCAAAGTAGAAAAAAGCGTTCAACACAAAGGATGGTGAAAATTATGAAAGACAGAGAAAAGCTCGCACAAAACAAGGAGCCTACCCACTTAAAATGCTGGAGATGAGGAACTTCTTCTCACTTCCTTCATCCTCACGGAGTTCCACAACATCTCTTACCTTCTCAACCAAGTCTTCAAGCCCTTCTGCTCCTAACTTCTGGTAATCAACAATTTTTTTGTAACGCTGCTCATACAAAGCCTCAAAGCAGTCTAAAGGGACTGGACATGAGTAGCACACTAGAATCTCTTGTATTTCCCTCGTGAAACCTTCAAGAAGCTCATCAAATTCACACCCTGCATCAGCATTCCTTTCATCATCTGATGAGTCATCCGAAGAGCTTCCTGTATTAGGACTGATACCAGTATCAACAGTTTCCCCAACTATGCCTTTATCGTTCTTATTTCTCTTCAGGATTATTGGTATGTTCTCATACTTCTTAATATTTCTATCTGAGTTGCGAAGGCAGAGACACTTTTTATGTCCCTTTCCCACCAAAATCAAGGTATCAGCCATCCTGTCTACAAGGTGCACCAGCTTGAATACTCCATATTCTGACATGTAGAGTGGCCTTCCATAGCTCCTAAGATATTCTGATGGAACCCGAACAAGGGGCAAACTTCCACCAGATATCTCTAGCAGCTTCACCAGCTGGCCCTTCAAGCCTTGAATATCTCCTGGCTGTACCCAACTGTCTTGTGCCCTGCAGCTCTGATCCCTTGAAGGAACTTCACTCATTCTAGAAGGCTGACCTTGAAGCTTTGAGGAATCGGTAGATATTTGGGATACATTGGAATGATCCCTGAGATTACTAGAATTACTGCATGAATTGTAGCCACTTCCTTTATAAACTATGGCTTCTTCTTCAATCTGAATATCAGGGCAGTTATCAAAAAAGTTATTCATGAGATAGCCAGAACGGTCGGATCCCCGTGCTACACTGGTTCTTGAAGGGACAAAACCTTCTCCACGGGCAATGCTTGGCCAGTCCCATACGAATCTTCCAGCATTGCAGAGAGCAGAAGAGACGCCAACTTTAGAAGGGATGACAAGAATCACTGTGTACCCACGTTGCCCCAGTATATGCAATGCAGGAGCAAAATCCACATCCCCAGATATAAGCAAAATAGATGAGGGTGGACGATTGTCAAGGGCAAATAGGAACATATCAACCAAAATAGCCTTGTCAGCAGCATCTTTTCTTCCATTTGGCACATCAACAAGCTTGACGCCTGTCCTTTGGCAGCCCTCTCTTAGCCTCCGGGGGAAGGAATTGAAGTCCCCATATGCAGCAAACATTGTCACAGCTCCTTTGATCAAAGGGTGCACTCTCAATGCAAGACGAATGTTGCCAGCAACATCTTCAGGTCTAACATCATTTGGAACTGGGCAGTTTTCAATGTCCCAAAGAATGGCAACAGGCCCATGTAAATTCTCACTTTGTAGTGCTGTTGAGTGCGTCGGTTCATTAGTAGAAGTGACAGAAATGGCTCCACTGGAGCTAGCAATTTCAGGAATTTGAATCTTTGGGGATGGACTTCGACCGGACATGGCTTTATCCTCACACGACATGCAGAAACTCTCACAATGCCAAGTGAAACAGTCTGAAAGATGACAAAAGAAAGCTTTAAAACGGTTTAGGAAGAAGCAATAAGATATATATTCGACAACATCTCATCAAATTATCTGATAAACAAAGGTTAAGGTGGGCACAAACATTAAGCATATTCTGCACAAGAAGGGCATTTTGCATATGTATTTTGCAGAAGAAAATTCAGCATTATCATATACATTAATAAACTAAATAAAAAATGATTCCCACAAAAGCAAAGGAGTTACAATATAATACCTCCTTGTTATATAGATATGTCTTATTTTCGATTCTAGCCTATCACTACAAGTTCAGGAGATAACAGCTTATTATATTCTATTTATGAGATGACTGTCAAATCTTGCATAAAAATTTATGTTTTGATGCATTTCTGAAAAAATGGACTTCTATAGCTAGTAAGGAATCCTTCTGATGAATATAGTTGACAAAGGTTACCATTTTAGTCTTGTGAGTATCCCAATTCATTGTAGGAACATACTAAGCATATTTATAAGCTCATAAATCCTCTTTGTATAATGCAATCGTCTTGCACAGTTATGAGGCCAAAACAATGAAAGCCTCCAAAACATTGAAACCCTTTCAAAATCATATGTTAGCAAGAGGTGTACGCTTCTGAAGTAGCTGGGCAGGTTTATAAGTACGCTCACTAAGTTTGAAAACTACTCTATGTAATTTGACCATGCTTCTAATTGCTCAGCTTTTACTAAAGAGATGCTCCCTGAAAATATACAAGACCAACAATTTACTTGATCTAAGAGGAGCTAATTTAAAAGAAACTCCATCTAACTATGATGAAATTGTAGGCTATGCAAACATTAAAAAGCCTATGCAAGCAAAATCCAGCAAAAGGCAGCTACGCTACTAGTTTTGCACACACTTAAGCAAAAATAAGTTGAAAGGATGGTTATTCCCAAAAGCAAGACCTTTTGATTTGAGAAAATACACATACACATTCGAAAGGGGAAAATGCACAGTAGCCATGAACATAATTTTTACTTTGTGTTGGATGTGTCTATTAGAGGGTAATCTATTTCATATCTTATTGGCTAAATATATGCCGACGACTTGTGGAGGCACGAGTGGTGTGCAAAGCAAGCTCACGAGGCAAAGCTATGCAGTGTGCAGGCGAAGAAGGGCTGCATGAGTGGTACGTTGGAATGACTGAGAACAAGCTAGAACAGATAAATGGACAGACCAAGAGGCAGAGGGAAGGGGAGAGGGCTAGTCTAAAGACAATCTTGCTATGATATCAGAAGAAAATCTGTTCATGCCTTATTTTATGAATATGTGCGCTTCAAAAGGGTAAAAAAATGAAACAAATAAAAAGATGAAAATTCCTAATTAGCAAGATATCAAATCATCTCACTCTTACATAAAACTTTCTAATACTAAAGACTCGCCAAATTCCTTCATGCACCAAGGGGGTGTTTGGTATCGGATTTGGCTTGAGTTTTAACTATGATTTAACATAAATCCAGCCAAATTCATTCCGCGCGACTGTAAATCCCGTGAATCCGTAAATCCGGGATTTACGGATTTACATCATAAATCATGGTAAATCCATGTAAATCCTGATCCCATCCTTTGCTCGATTCAACGTGATTTAGGGTTGTTGAAGTTCTTCCCGCGGCGCCCATGTCGCAAAGCGTCGCGCGAACTCTTTATCTACATGGAAGACACAGCTTCATCCTCATCACCTGCCCTAGCCGCTTCCGTAGCATTCCCGTCGGATCCCTCTCAACGTCGCACAGGTATCCCCGACCACCGAAACCTTTTTTTTCCTTCCTGTGCTCGACAATACCTAAAATAGCGATAATGTGCTGCCACATCTTTTGTGTTTATTGTGTAGATTCTTGCTTTCTTGCTTCATATAAGCATGTTCAACCTCTAATGCCTAAAAAATGTTGGCTGCTTTTTTGCTTTATTCTAGTCTGCCTCTCATCCCTGGGCCGGTTGGTTGAAAGTTTTGCTCCCCATTCAAGCAGTTTTGGGTTTGAGGATTAAATATGAATTCGTGTTTGTAAGGTGTGCCTTGTCACTTTATTACCCCCAAAAAGTAAATTATTCCTCTCACTAGAGAGAGTGATTTCAGCCTACTTTTTATGTTTCCTCCTTAAGATTATGTTTAATTAAAAATAATAATTTGTAGGATATTTAACAGTTTAATAGAATCTTTGGTTAAAAATGAAAACATTCATGAAAGTTGAAAAAGCTAGTTTGGGAAATTACTAAATGAGAGTTTTAGGTAAAAATTATTTTGAAAGAGCATATTGTACTATGTGTTGAATTATATGATAGATCCAAATTAAATGCTTGTTGAGATTTGAAAATTGTGGAAAGTATTGTATTAATTTGATTGACAAATATTTTCAAGAAAAAAATGGAAGGCTAAATGTATTCATTATGAAGTTGCTTACAAAGGATATTCAAAAGTGATGTGCCATAGTTTAAGATTTTTCTTAATCCAGTATCTAGGTGTCAACTTATGTGCCAAATCGATCCGCACACAAACTCTTTCTAGAGTTGTTGCTCAGTTCTTAGATCAAGTTTTGTTGGCATAGGATAATTTTTTTATAGAATTTATTGTGTGGTTAATTGAGTGTTTTCTTAATCCTATGCCAAGTCACCATGCAAATAAATGAATGCTCTTGTAATATAAATCTAGGTTTCATCGATATGCATGTAGCATGTGTGAGCGACAACGAGTCATTAAACGATATCTATCTACATAAGACTGGTAAAAATTCTTAAAGGAAAGTTAAAAATTAATACACTTGGTTGGACAGATTTTAAACTTCATACAAATAATTTTCTCGTTAATGTTAAATAGAAATGCAAAAATTTCTAAAAGGCAAAGGAGTTGGACGTGCTAGCTCTAGTAACCCACATCGTGCCAGTAATGACATCTTAGTTACTCCGGCCAACCCAAAAGCACAACTCGAAATCCTAAGTGGCCAAAAGATCATAACGTCGTACTAGGTGAGCTGCTATTGGAACAATATGTTAATAGAAATTTTGTAATGGGAATATGCGGAAGGAACAATGAGCAAGCTTAGTGGCTGTGTTAAACAGACGTCTAAGCTCAAACTATATAGAATCTTCCATAATGATACGATTTAAAAACATGAAAGATGATTTTAGAACACTTTATCAACTAACAAACCGTAGCGGATGTGGTTGAGATGAGGACAGGGGCGGAACCGGCTTTAATTTTGAGGGGGGGCAAAAATACAGGCACAAAAATAATTAATTATTAAAAAAATAATATTATATATCTATACATTACGAAAAGTTTTTTTTTAAAAATTAAGTAAGAAAAATAAAGAAAAAATATGTAATTAAACTATTATTAAAAGCATGAAAGAGAATATTAGAACTAAATGTGAATAAATATATAAATATTTTAGGGCAAGTTAGGACAAAAGATGACAAAAAAATTTTTTAGGGGGGGCAAAAAAAAATTTGAGGGGCAAAATTTTTTTTTACTCTTATAATTTTTTTTTTTGAGGGGGGGCAATTGCCCCCCCTAAGCTTTACTATAGTTCCGCCCTTGGATGAGGAGTTACACATCCCTGTAACTACCGATGAGTTGTGGGAGGAAATTCATCAGGTATTATTTTTTCTATTTAGTAATGTAAGCAATACCTAAATTTCATTTTCCTAACTCAACCAAATTTTATAATTGTAGGTTAATGCAAAGCTAACTCGATTTAGAAGACATCCCTTCCATCAATATGATATTGACGAGAAAATTTGTGTCGAGAACATTGCAATAGGAACTGTTGCAAGATCCGGTAAGTTGACAGAATCCACGATAAACTTAAACGATGACGAAACACTACACTTTAAAGACGAGTTCCTAGTTGCTAATGGTGTGAGCTACAACATGGAAGGAACTCCCCATAGCAACCTACTTGACACTGTAGATGATGCAGCACCAAGTGTGGAAATAGATTGAAGTCATATGCTAGGTTCAAAAAGATCTAGCGAAAAACCAACCAGGTTAGCAAGATGTCCTAAAAGGAAGTGACTTGCAAAATCTTAATCAATTATTAGCCGAGTCGAACAGGAATGCAATTGTATTTAAAGAGACAGTTGAACGAAGTGATCCTTAAACTATGACTGACTGTTTGGCATAGTTAGGCCAGTTATAAAACTTGAAAACACAAGCTCTCCTAGGTATTCAGGATGCGCTTAAAGAAAATAAAGATAACAAAGCAATATTCATGACTTGGGAAGGGGATGTTCTAACCGAATGGATAGAATAAGTTATTAGCACGCATCCATGTTTTTACTTGGCAAAAGTTTGGTTATAGTTATTTGGTTCACGTTGTTTGATTTATGTTCTTTGAGTTATGTTGTTTGCTTCACTTAGTTTGGTTTATGTTGTAAGCTTCAAATTGTTTGATTTATGTTATTTGCTTCCCATAGTTTGATTTTTATTATTTGCTTCATGTTGTTTGGTTGTAGTTTGCTTTCCAATTTAAATTTAATTAATGAATTAAAATATCTTTAATTATGCAGTCATGCCTAATTACTTGCGTGGAATATTCCCCGATGTTTTATGTAACATGGTAGACTTACAGCTTCAAGTTAACAATGCTATTGTTGAAATTACTCCATCTCTTCTTCAAGAAAATTCTTTCCCGGAAGATGAACAACCAATCAGGCGGCCAATGTTTGGTAGGACATATAATGGACATCGATATGTTCTTGATATCCTTGCTGGCCATCCGGACAGAGCATACCAATGCTTCAGGTTGCCTCCGGATGCCTTTGTAAGCCTAAGAGATCTACTAGTAAGCCACAGGCATTTACGTGACACAAAGAATATGCTCGCAGCTAAGCAACTAGGTATATTCTTGCGAGGAGTTGAGCATGCTCATAGTTAGCGATAGTTACGTAAATTCTTCCAGCATTCACTGGAAGCAATTAGCATGTACTTCAATATGTTTCTACGTACAATTGTATCCTTCGCATATGAATTTATTAATTTACCCCAAGGAGATGCAGAATATCATCCTTATGTACATTCAAATATAATGTTTTATCCTTACTTCAAGAACACATTTGGTGCAATTAATGGCACATATACCTGCAGTAGTCAGTAACAACTTACATAATCATTTTCGTAACCGTAAGGTATTCACTTCGCAGAATGTAATGGATGCAATGTCATTTGATAGACAGTTCGTATATGTAGCATCTAGGTGGGAAGGTTCTACTGCGGATATATGTGTGCTAAGATAGGCGGTGAAGCAAGGTCAATTTAGAGTGCCCCACAATCATTATTACTTGGTTGATTCAGGCTACACAAACACTGATAAGTTTTTTTTTTTTTACACAAACACTGATAAGTTGATTGCTCCTTTTCGGAGATATCGATATCTCCTAGCTGATTATAGATGAAGTACAACTATAAGATATACAAATCAGTAAGAATTATTTAATCACTGACATGCCGTATTGTGAAATGTGGTAGAGAGGACCTTTAGAATTTGGAATGAACATTTTCAAGTGTTGACGCACATGAGAAAGTTTCCTCTTAGTGTTCAAGCTGATTTGGTTATTGCATGTGCAGTTTTACACAACTTTATGGGTCAATATCATGGACATGATATGTATTTCAATATGTCACGGATGAAAATGGAACACAATACTGAACGTGGCAAAGTAATAATGTCGGATGAAGATCCTAACTTGCATACAACAATGTGAGAAAGAATTCAAGGATAAGCAATAAGGCATGTCATCGCAACAGATATGTGGAATGCTCGGGTAAGGATTTTTATATGCATTTACAATATTTCACCTTTGAATACCATACTTAGTTATTTCACGATTTTTTTATTTCAGATAAATTGTCAAAAAAATTGATCGTCATGAGGAAAATACTCTCCAATGAAATAAATATCAACTCTCTATTATGTTGTAGTGTACTATCATGTAGTAGTCAATTGGTGTATAAAAAAAAATTTATTCATGGAGTCATGTACTCTTTATGCTTTTAGTAGTTTCTATTATGTGATGTTATATTTGGTTTATTATTTAGCATTTAGTCATATCAAATTTATAACAGGTGTATTGATGTTATTTAATATTACTCCTTCAATTTTAAATCTCCAACTGTTTTAAATCCTGTAATCTGTTGTCAAACAACTTCTCTGGATTTAATAGGATTTAACATTTATCATACCAAACACTTTTCATGATTTATCAGCCTAGGACTTACTAAATCCGGATTTACAAGATTTACTAAATCCCACTAAAGTTGAATCCAATCAGATACCAAACACCCCCCAAGAGTGTAAATTTGCTCATGGCTTTATCCAAAATATAGATGTATATATCTCCAAATTACTATTGATTAAAAACATATTCGCTATTTTTTCTTAATATAAGCCTGCAATCAACTGTGATTTATCTCCACAAACAAACCAAATGCTTCCTTTCACCCCCTAGCTAGCCTTTTCAAGCTCACAAGTATCGTTAAAAACGCTAAAACATTAAAATCTACTTATACAAACAAATCACAGCAGACTAATAACGCAACCCAAAATCTCCATAAACCTGATCTGGTACTAAAAAAAAGATCTTATTGATGAAACCTAATCCAAAACATTTCTCTCCAACCACATCCTTCAGAATAATAGCATAACTTTTGCCATCAGTTAACAAAATACCATGACTGCGTGATAAAAAAAATACAAAACAATCCCTACCCATCCATCTCAGTAACAAACAAAGGACCAGCAGACCCAAGCCCTAGCTCAATTAATTACTAGATTTCCGGCGCCACAGTAACCATCAAACCTTAACAGCCTCAACAATTCCTAAACAAAATGACAATTTTTGCAAAAAGCACTGAATCGGATCATGAATTCGTGAAGTTAGAGTTACCGAGAAGCGAATCGAATTGGATTGCTTGAGAATTCCGGAAGCCTGAGAGAAACCTCTCAATCAATATATAATCATTTCTGGCCAAGAAAAATGCCAATACATGTTGCAAATCTTGATTCAATAATTATAATTTTAATGATAGCAAATATTTATAGTATTTCTATTTTTCTACTATTCCCATGTCTACTAATGTTTCAGATCCACAAGGCCAATTGCAAATCAAGCCAGCTCAAGATTGAGTAGATTAGGACTGAGTCAGTCTGGAAGTGTATTTCCAATATTTTTATTTTTTATTGAGTCAAATATAATAATGTAGATCATGATACTAAGTAATATTATACACACTCATTTAGGGAGAGAAATTATGTAGGATTAAGAGTTTTTATATTTTTGATAACATCGTAAAAGATGATCTAAAATCATCCTGGACGATCAATTCAAAATAGAAATCCTAATTATGACATCCTTGTTAAGATAATTGAATTAATTAAATCGTCTTGGACGATAGGCTCAAATCAGAAAAAATCAGCTGCCAACTCTTTTAGGCATGTTATTATTTTTATACATCGTATATGACATTGCCCTGGATGATGCATTACAATTATGCCTAAATTAGTATGATGATTAAGGAAAGTAATTAAGATTTATTTGATTGGTTATATCATCATGGATGATTAGTTAAACAAACCTTAATTTCTTCCTGAATCGTCCTAGATGAACATAATAATGTGTTGGATGATATTTATTGATTTGAACTAATCGTACAGGATGATCCAAGAATCGGCTTGGACAATAGGTTATTTTTTCATTATCCAATATATAAAGTCTGGCCGAACAGAGCGATGTTCTGGATGATATTTGATGTTTTGAACTAATCATACATGATGATATACTCATCATCCTGGACAATCAGAACAAACAAATATTCTAATCTTCTAGCCCCTCCAAGACAGCCCTACCTGAAAAGGCTAAAAATACACTTATCGTACATGATGATCTTTTGATCTTTGACGGCTTGTACAATTTAGGACAAATTTTAAGCCCTTCTATATAAGATCTCTTATTTACTCAAGATTAATTTTTTTGTTGCTATCTTGACTTGAGAGAGATAAGAGAATGAGAGAGAGAGAGAGAGAGCTTGGGAGAGAGAGAGGAGGATCTTTTGAGGGGGAGTTTGTGAGGGTTCACAAAGGTTGCTCAAAGCAAAGATCCGAGTCATCTTCTCTAATCGTCATCCATGGTTCCTTGGAGGTTCTAGAGAGGTCTACTTTAGCGATCGATCGAGATTCTCTGCATGCTTTGGGAGGAAGCAAAAGGAGGTTGAGGTTCTCTGTCTTATTCAGGAGGAAGCGAAAGGAGGTCGGGTTCTTTGCCTAATCGGAGTCCGTGGAAAGGAGTCTGTAAAGGCTTCTCAGCCTTGCTGTGGGAGCAAAAGGAAAGTCATTGAGTTTAGTGTAATACCCGGAGGAGAGGCTTCGGGGAGTGGAAGTAGGTCAAGTTGAACGTACCACTATAAAATATGGTGTGCTCTTTCTTATTACGTTTCCGCATTTTAATTTATGTATTTTATTTTATGTGGGTGATAGTTTTTGTTTGATGTTCTAAAATATTTCAAAAGATCATTATTTTTGTTTAAGTAATTTTTTAAAATAACTAATTCACTCCCTCTTGATTAGTCTCGGACTAATTCATAAGAGCTTAACATCCCTAATGAACTTTCAAAACCCTCGTAAGCTAATATTAAATTCTCCATGAGTTATATTAAATTATCTTTAACTAAATTTTTCTAATATTTATATAAAGGTTTATTTAGTTATGAGGCATAATCTTTCACATATATTTTACGTGATGTAGACACTAAAATAATATATGGATAAATATGAAAAATTAAAAATTAGCTTTATAAATAGATACAATTTTTTAGTGAACATGTAAATCCACCTTTCAATTAAATCAGGTCAACTTGAATCAACTTAAATTTTTGTTTAATTCACATTCTATGAGAATAAGAAAATAAGAAAAATAAAATTTAAAATCAAATAATATTTGTGTAAAAGACTAAAATGAATATGTATATAACTCAACCTTTGAAAGGGTGTAGTATAATCATTTTTTCGTAAGGGATAAAATAAGGTGAATATATAGATAAAATTTCATATTTTGCATGAGAAATATCAGTAAATGTATTTAAATATATTTATTTATAAATCATTTTATAAAATTATGTAATTATAATATACCATCATCATTAATTCAAAGACAAATTGTTCTAAGATATTATAATTTCTCAAATTGAAATTTTTTTAGTCTGATTTAGACATTTAATTATAAATATGATTGATCTAATTATTATAATTTTAAATATGATAATTAAAATGCTATTTAATAATATCCAAGAAAAATTTAATATTATAAAATAAGAAATCCATTTGCTCAATAATAAATTATAGAAAATTATTTTCAAGTTATTATATTTAAATTTCAATAAACTTTATTTATGAAAATATTTAATTTCTTATTTAAATTAGTATTTAAATATTTTTTACATTATTTAGATATTAAAATATTCACTAACATATGACAATATATAAAAAATTAAAAACTTGGGGAGTTTTTTGTAAAATTTCCTCTATTTTAATGCTTCTATTTTGCACTTACTGCCACTGTCATCATCGAAAAAGCTTCTTGAGTTCTGTTGGCATTGGCGCATCTTCCTCGCATTTTCTTATCAGTGGGTGCTTAGCAGTCCACGAGATCTTCGATTTGCGCTACGATCAGTTCCTCTCGTTGAAGGTCTATACGTCTACCATGGAAAGGTTATCAGGCTTGGCTATCATCTGCTGTTTTCTTCTGGTCATGGGCGTCGTCCGGTGCAAGACCGTGAAGAGAGACGGTACAGATCTACTCGAAATCCCAGTCTCATTATCTAATTTTTTCTGTAATTTGATATGGGATCTCGGCCTGTTGAATATTTAGGATATGAAATGTCTTGTCCGGTTAAGGCGTGTTTGGGATTTTAGCTCCGGAGGTGGATGTGGTGGGTTATTGTCTTCTGTGATTCTGGCTGGTTTTGTTGGGTTTGGTATTGGTTATTTGCGTTATTGCTATTTCGATGGAATACTGGCTGAAGCTAAGTTATAGATTCTTATTGCTATTTTCATTTATGTTTTGATGCGGTGGAATTTGGGACTTTGAAACCATGACCCATCAAGAATAATGTGACCAAAGTTCAAGGGTTGTTGAAATCCCTGTTCTAACCCATCGACCACAAACAAAAGAATTGGATTTGATGACAATGATTAAGACGGGATTCAGATAGATTGTGAATGAGTATTCGACAAAATTTTGGAAGCAAGTAATTGCTATGGATGCTTTGGAGAAGTCCTCAAAATGCATGAAATAAATTGGGTGATTCTCTCAGGGGGTCTGACGATAATTAATATTATTGCTTGTTTTATTCATCATTAAGATAAGCTTGAGGAAATTGACCTAGAAGCAAGAAGTTAATCCAAGCCTTGAACAAAAAAAAAAAAGAAAGCTAGGTGAGAAATAGAAAAGAAATGGGCAAACAATAACATGGTGATAAGGGAAAGTGCTAAAAAAATTATAAGGGATTTTTGAAGCCTCAATCCTACCCTATCAACCACGAACAAAAGACGTGGATTAGATGGCAGTAATTAAGATATGAATCAGGTATACTGTGCAAGAGTGTATTGTAAAATTTTGGAATCAAGCAATTGCTTTCAATGTTTCACTGTAAGAGACCTCAAAATTCATGAAATACATATGGTGATTCCTTGAGGTGCTATGACGATAATTAATATTATTCCCTATCTCCACAACAACCAATCCCAAGGATCATCTTCTTGGCTAAAATAAGCTATTAGAGGCTAGAAGACGAACTGGTGCCTTATGGGTAGGCATTAGGTTTGTAAATACTCATGATTTTGATGACATGTGCTTAGTTCTCGACCGAATTATTAGATTTAAGACTAGATGTGAATAATTGGAGAAGTTTCCTATAAGCACCATGTGATAGGAGAATATAATGTAGGCCTAGGATTTTTTTTACATAATAACATTCAGTTTAATTATGGCATATCGCTTCAACTTCTGGATGATAAAGGATCATTGATAGCCAAGTTGGAGTGACAAAATTTTGAATTTTTGATGAATGTATTTCAAAATCATAGTTTTAAAAACCGGACCGGCTGACTGGTTCAACCAGTTCAACTGTGAACCGGTCAAATGGCCAGTCTGATCCAACTTAATAATCGGCTTTGCATCAAATCAGACCAAACTAACATGAATTGCTGGTTCAATTGGTGAACCGGTCCCGATTTTCTAAAATTGGCATGTTCAAGTATTTTTTTAAATAATTAAATAAATTAATTTTTGGTTAAATATAATATTAAACTTAATAAAGTAATATAAATATTATACATTAAAACTTTTAAATGAATATTAAATACATATAAATAAGAATTATCAAAGAATAATATTCTACTTATATGTAAATTAAATTTAGATTAAAAATCAAATTTAAAATTGAAAAATATTTAAATTCAAAATTATAAAAAATATTATGCATGAATTCTCTTTATTTTTTAGCAACACAATTATATGATTATATAATTATTATAATATTATTATATTATTTAGACCTTATTTAAATAATTTTAATATTTATTACATCATCTGGTTCAACTCCGGTTGAATCATTAAACTTTGAACCTCTTATTTTTTCGGTTCGATGTCCGGTCCTGTTTTTAGAACTATGCTCAAAACTAGAAAGAATCAATTACAAAATAATTATATATGAAGGAATGTTGTTGTACATGTTGAAGGCGAGGTAGTGAAAAATAGGTTTAGATTGTTTGGGCATGTTCAACGAATGATAGAAGATGTACAAATAAAACATTTATATAAAATTAATGTTAAAGGATTAATGATAGGGAATGTGCTCCAAGTAGTTTGGATATAGCTAATTTTGCTGATGAGAATTATAACTTTTCAGTTTTCACTTATTTTATAAAGTGTATCACCATTTATCTTAATTCACATAATGAAAATTATTAGGATATCAAATTTATAACCTTTTATTAAACCATATAGTTAGTCTTAGTGGGCGTCTGTGTACTGATTACTGAGATAAATGATTAATTAATTTTCTGTAAAGGAGTAACCAAATCTAATGCATCAAGAAAAATATAATTAGCTTTGATATAGAAGAAAACATAGAAAATAAGTATTCTTATTGAGGGTTTACAGACTTATCTCTTCACTATTATTAATATATTGTCATACATTGATAAAAATGAAAATAAAGCAAATTTTTGTCAATAAGTTTTCATATTATAGATCAGCCTTAGTGATGTTGATAAACCTTTTTTAAGGTAGTTCTACTTGCATAAATTATTGATCTCTTTCATGTGTATGTTATTTTAATCTTTGATTGATGCATGCAAATTTCATTTTTTTTTTAATTTTTATTGAACTATATTGTAATTTGAATGTTATGTTTATTTTATTCTTTTTTATTTTCTACCCTATGATGGAAGGCAACCTGTGATCATGAGTAGGTTGTGCTCTTGGACATGCATTGCCTTGGGTGTGGTAGTTTCTTTGGTGCCTTGGCTTTTGGGCTGATTTGGATCCTTGATTTGGGTTTGGTTGTTTCGAGTTTTGCTGCCTAGTTGGGGAGCTGCTGCGTTCTGCTTCCTATTTTAGCTCATTATTGTGAGTTGCTGCCTTTTTCAGCTCATTAAGTTGTCGTCCGGGTTCATTCCCCCCTCTGTTTGGCCTTTCGGTTCTCTCTCAGCCCGGCTCCCCACCTCCATGGCGCTTGTCCTGAATGCTGGCCGTTCCTGTTTCCCGCGTGACCCCTTCGGGTGTTGCTCCCGCTGTTGCCTGTTGGCCTTTTGCCTCCCCTTTTCTAATTGGATTGGTGGGTGGCTGTTTGGGCTGTTTGGCTCCCTCTTTTCACCTATAAATATAGGTTGTTTTGTGGCATTTAGAAGCTGTTTTTTTGGTGAGTAAAGATATCTAAAAACCTGAGAGTTTTTTTTTTTTTTTTTGGAAAGCTTGCAAGCTTTTTCCAATTTTCTTCTCCTCTCTTTGATTTCGTCTTAGGCTTCTTACCTACTTCTTTTCTCCACAAGTTTTCACCTCACTTGTATATTTCTTCTCTAGCTCTTGAAAGTGTTGTTGGCCGGTTTGGAAGCATTTGCCGAAGGAGTTTTGTGGTGGACGTTGGCCCAAAGTTGCTGGGATGAACCTTTGGTTTGCATGTCTTTAAACACTTATTATCTTACATACTATTTCGATGCATGTGATGCGACCACTAGTTGGTTGTTCTGAGGGTAGTTTGTTTTATTTTTATTCTAGTTTCGTTTTCATCTAACTTTAGTTTGTTTTGAAGTTTGTTTGGTGTCGGTTTTCTATAAATTGAATTGAGAAAAGTTCTACAAGCCATTGTGTTCTCCGTTGTGATTTTTTCTATCTAATTGTCTGCACCATTGATTTTTCTTTTCAGGTGTATGTCTACTCATGCATGTATGTTTATAAGACAACAACACATGCACATGCACACACACTCACTCGTTTATGTTTGTATGCGTATTAAGGATGGAAAATTAACCTTATGGCTTTTAAAAATGTATTTATTGGTTTCAGTTAAAGCACTGAATGAAATCAAGGCGTCCCTTGGGTGGAGGGTTGTATATGCTTGGGTTGGAGATGATCCATGTGGAGATGGTGATTTGCCCCCGTGGTCTGGAGTTACATGTTCACAACAAGGAGATTATAGGGTTGTTACAGAATTGTAAGGATGCAGTCTCTTTTAGTATACACTTTCATATCTTCGCTTCACTCTGAGAATTCATCTTAGTTTTCTGAGCATGCGAGTTCCCTTTTCTTTGAAGTATGAAAGGTAAACAGTGAGAGGGCGATTCTGGACACAATAGGAGATGCCTTCTTTTACTTTCTAGCAATCGACTATAATCTTCCTTTAGTGTACTAGAGACAAATGTATATTTTGGGTTCAAACTTTTATTGATCATTGTACCTTTCTCTATGTTTTAAAGGCGTGCATTGTGTCAACATTCATTTTTCTTATTGCTAAAGAAACTTAACGTTTGAGTAATTTTTTGCTTTATTTATGTATGATCATGTAAAGTTCAGGCTAAAATCTATATTAAAATAAGCAATCCAAAAAGCGGTATTAAAGCTTCTTTTTTCTGCAAGTGATGAGCAAATTGCTTTTCCCCACTTTTGGGAAAATTATAACCAGAATGTTATTTTGCATTGCTACTTCAATTTTATGTAACGTCAATAACATTTTTACCTTGATCTGTCTAATTGCATTCATTAGTCATTATAGAGATGTTAAATCTATAATTGTCAAAGTCGCAGTGTTGCAATAGCACAAAATCACTTAGAAATCTTTCATTGTTCTCTCACAAGCATGAAACAAATGTTATTCATATGGTGTGAATTATGTAGTTCAACCTCCCTTGTGAAACCATGATTAATGCTTTTAATGTTTGTTTTATGAAGTGAAAGTATATGAAACTTTCCATCTTGAGACTTCTTTATGTAATAGTATTTTGCAAACCAAAACATAAAATATATGTGTTGATGATTGATGTTATCTTGTTACCTTGACGCCTGGGTGGAATTTTCTATTCTCTCTGATATGATGATATCCTGATTTCATATCTATCTTGGTGAACATCACCGCCTTACTCAATTCATTCAGTAGTTCATTAATCATTGGTATAGGAAACTTGTCTGGCACAATTTCCTTGTTGATCGTCCTGTAGTCCACACAAAACTTCCAGCTGCCATCTTTTTTCTTCACTAGTAATACAGGACTAGAAAAAAGATTGATACTGGGTCTGATAATAGACGCATCCAGCATCTCTCTGATCAACTTCTCAATCTCATCCTTTTGAACTTGAGGATATCGGTAGGGCCTGACGCTGATGGGTGACACACCCTCCCTCAGAGTGATAGCGTGCTTCTGCTCCCTCAGTGGTGGCAATCCCTGAGGCGGATGAAACACCTCTTGGAATTGCTGTATCAACGATTGTATGGAGAGGGGTACCTCCACTCCCTCCTCCAATATAACTCCCTCCAACCTATGCAGCTCCACCAAATAGTCTTCCCCCACCTCTTTGATATTCCTTACCATAGTTTTGAGAGACACCATGGATCTGGATAACCTTGCATCTCCTCCAATTATCACCTTCCTTCTATTCACCACAACTCCATCGTGAGGGCTCCCCAATTGACCTTGGTGTCCCCCAAGGTCTGCAGTCACTTCATCCCCAGGATAACATCTATACTCTCTAGCTCCAGTGGGAGAAAGTCCTTCCTCACCTTCATGGTATGATTCATAGTGAATCCTACCACATAGTTCAGGAAAACCTCTGCCATGTCTAGATGCAGTTTCTCCTCCTCTTCCTCCTCTAACTCCTCTTCGCCTCCCTCAGTTTCCTTGTCATTATAGACGGTGAGAACCTAAAGAGTTATGTCCCTACACCTATGCCCTGGAGTGTACTTTTCATCATACATGAAGCACAACCCCTTAGCCCTCTTCTCTTGCATCTCCTTCTCCATTAGCCTCTTGAAATTTCCCCCATTTCCGCCTCCTACCGTCTTCTCCCTGGGGTCTCACAAACCCCTCCTGTTGTAGGACCCTTGGGTTCTAAGTGAGTAGTCGTCATCTGGTACGTGCCTCTTGAACTGCTGGTCCTAGCTCCCCGATCTAGATTCTTCTGATTTTCTACCATGTGGGCTAACTTCATGGCCTCTCCCAAGTCATGAGGCATCATGATTTTCACCGTTGCTTTGATATCTGCCTTGAGCCCCTTCATGAAATTTCCCTCCAAAATAGATTCTTATAATCACTCCACCCGACTGGCCAGGTGCTCAAACTGCTCTCAGTAGTTTGCCACTGATCCGTTCTGCACCAGTACAAAAACTGCTCATAGGAGTCTCCTCTCTCGTCGGTTTGAAAACATTCTAATAAACATTTTTTAAGCTCTCCAGCTCCGTATAGGCCTCCTCTGGTCCCTCCATTGGTATCATGACAACGCCTTTCCTTCCAAACATAGGCACGCTGCTACCAATTTTTCTTCATCCGTCAACCCGTTGATGGAGAAATACCTTTCCACTTTGTAGATCCATTCATAAGCATTCTCGCCTTCAAATATTAGCATCTTCAGCTTCCTTATCTTTAGATCTCCTCCGTTTCCCTGTATTCCTCCATAGTTTTACCTTTCCCAAGTGCGTTGCTCTCCCCATGTCTCCCGACCTTCCCTTACATATTAATCTTCAAACCCATATTCACTTTCTTTCCTCTTTTCTCCAAAATCAGCGCCCCTCCTTCCATAATTGCCCTCTTTTGTCTCCCAACCAACCCCCTTACTCCATTTTCCCTATTCTCACGTCTCTCGACATATCTTCCCCCTTTCTCCTCCATGATTTCTCCATCGCTTTCCTTTCTACGAAAATCAGAATTCGTAGTTCTCCCCATTGGTCCCTTTGCTTCCGATGCCGCCGTTTGAATTTGATTGTCCAAGATCTTCTTCACTATCAGATGAAGATCGGAGAATTTGTCTTCCATTGATGACATCTTTTCTTCCACGGATGAAATCTTGTCTTCTATGAATGAGAGTTGATCTTCCGTCGTGGCTTTTATCTGGCTCATTTCCCCTTCAAATCGTTCTTCCAACGCATCAACTTTCTTGGCCGCCATAAAAAATTCTGGATATTAGATCCAAAATTCAGCAAGATCCCTCCTTCCGATCAGAAATTCGCTGCTGAATTTTTTATAAAAATCAGTCCACAATGGTCCAGGAATTGCTCTGATACCAATTTGATAGGAACTTGAGTTCACAAGTAATACTAATGGGAAATACTTGAGTTCGCAAGCATACCTAACAATAATTAGTAAAAATAGCGAGAAAAACTCAAGAACTTAGGAGAATGCAATCCAAAACAATAGATTGTATTATAGGAATCAAATCAAAGCAAGCACAAACAAATATACAATTGATCCTCAATTCGAGAGGAGGATCGTTCTCTCTCATTCTCTAGACGATGAGTCTAGAGCCCAAGACATCAAAGAGAATTCCAAGAGAAACAATAATCAAGCATTCCCCTAACCCCCTAATTTTCATCATACTTAAGGCATGCAATTAAACAATAGAGCCAAAAGACCAAAAAGCCCATGCCGCCCCCTTCTTTAGTAAAAAAATTAAAATTTTTATACTAGAAAGCTGCTTTAAGAAGCAGTAATAAAACCGTCCCAAACGAAGTCTAAATTGAAAAATGGAAAGCACAAGATTTGTGAGATATGTTTTTATTTCCTCTTAATTAGGGATGTTCACCCTCTATTTCCTTTCTTTTTGTACTCGGCTTGTGTGTTTGTATATAGATACCTGCTATCAATAAATAATGCATAGGAATTATCTCTTCTAATATGTAGCTTTGAGTTCAACAGATAGCCATTCTTATCAGAGACTCCATTATCTCTCCAATGCAATGGATATGCCGTCTATTATAATATTTGTTCATTAACCACCGTACTTTGCAGGCATATACTTAAATACGACTATTTAACCCCATTAGTGTTTTATTAGTACAGTTTAATTCTATCATTGAATCTCTCTTGTCCTGATAGAAGCTAACTTGCAGGGAAGTATATGCAGTATCTATTGTTGGGCCTTTTCCTACTGCTGTTACAAATCTACTTGACCTAACGAGACTGTAAGATTTCTGACTTGGGTGCTTCTTTGTTCTGGATAAATTGGCAAATTATTGTACTAATTTAATGTGCTTATTCATGATGTTTTGATATATTTGAATCTTGTGAAAGTAAATCTCTATATATAACACTATTGTTATTGTGATAAAGTGCCATGATTCGAATACTGATTTGGATTTTTCAACATGTTCTTTAGTACCATTTTCTGGAAAGTGGGAGTGTCTACCCAACCATGCAAGGAAATTGCTGCTTGAAAATGTTTACTTGAAATGCAAAAACAGTTTTATCAAAGCTTCATTATTTCTTACTCAGATGAGATATTATTATCATCTAATACTATCAAAGGATTGATTTAATTCCTCTCTAAAAATAGCAATCCTAGCAGATTGTTCTTGCTGCTTGCTATTCTTAATAAAAGCTGATCATATAAACATTCTTAACCTGCATGATTTGAAAAAGAAATTGTTGAGTTAGCGCCATATTTTAGATTCTTAAGCTGCATTATAAAAAATTTAAATTATTTTAGGAGCTCATACATACACTCCACGTGCATGACTATTGATGATAAACTGAGAATTGTCTTGGAATGTTTTTTAAGATTGCATGCAGTTATTTTAGCGTAATCAGATTTAGATATCTTGAAAAGTGGTAACCACTATTCAACTATTTAATTTTGCAGGGATCTCCATAATAATAAGTTGACTGGGCCAATTCCTCCACAGATAGGACGGCTGAAACACCTAAGGATACTGTATGCCTTCCATTCATGTCATTTTCATGAAATTTTCTTTATGCGAGCTTCATGGTAGCCTGTTTTCTTGCCTACCGCTGTCTTTTTGCATATGTGATAAGGTTACAAGTTTTGATTAATTGAAGGGGATGTCCTTGAGTATTCTATACTAAACAAATTTCAATTCCTCTCTTAGTAAGGAGAAGGATGAACTAATCACAAATTCTTTTAGGATTTTTAGTATGTAAGCATTCATCCAATTTTATTGGATGCCTTATATTGATTCCGTTTTTCTAACAGTATATAAGCAGGAATTTTGTAGGAAATTTTTCAAAACTTTAGATGAACAGTTACTTTATCATCAGATTTGAATCCATATATAATTGTAATATGTTAAAGTAAGTTTCTTGCGAATACTTTTTTGTAAATTATAAAAATTACAAATGATGCGTTATGATGTGATGTATGTAATGATATTCCTAAAATTCAAATGTATTTTCTGATGACTATACGATAATTAATCCTTAGAAGAGAAAAGAGAACCTAAAATATTAGGTTGTACAAAGTTTTCTTTTTAACTGAAAAAACACACAAATATGATGTGTCTATTCTATGGACAAACAACTTATTTAAAAAAACCCAAATGTCTTAAAGTTGTCTTGACATATTATATGCTTATGGATTCAACCAAATATGCAGAGTTTCAAATTCTAAGTTTTTTTAAGGGAAATTATAGTTAATAAATCCTTTAAAATGTTGAAATAGTTTAGCTTTCTCCACGTAACTCTTTTAACCTAATTTTAAATAAAGAAATATATAATAAAAAATAAAATCCTTATTATTTGGCTAATTTATACATATATCTTTCGCTCTCTTTAGTATCAAATCTATTATATAAATCATTAAAAGCAAATATTTTTACATCGCATATTGCTTTCTTAGACTATTTATGAGACTTTTATATATTTCCTAATTTTTAGAGTTTTTGCATCTAAAACAATTTTTATTACAAATTTTTTTATTTTTAATCTTTTCTTGCACATTTTGCTTCTACCACAAATTATTTTTACTATTATGAGTTTTTTCTTTTGATACTCCAAGCACATGCTTTGCAATATTCTTAATAGTACTAGCTATTTTTTCTCACATAATATTAGCTACCTCATGCACAAACAAAATCTTAAGATCTCTAATCTTACTCTACAAAATATTTTACAAAATAATGAAAACCAAATGTGTCCTTTAAAATCACATTGCAATCTAAAATCATATTATACAGAATTTCAGAACACTTTATCTCACGTGCTATGCAATAACTAGAATTTAGAGAATAAAAAGGAATAATGTAAGAGTTCATCAAATAATACCGCCAAGCCTCATGCTCATATATGTCAATGACGTAAATTAGCATGCACTATGACTAATAGCATTTATAATGTCGATTCCAAAGTGAATAAGATGAAATTTGTTGCTATACAAAAGAGTTTTTGTGTTTGTGACATATCTCTTAGACATAATATATGCATCTTTAGCATGCTAATTTTTTTAGCCTACAAATATTATGGTAACATTTAAAGAAATTCATATGATTTAGCCTAGGGTTTAGATACGATTCATGTTAGGAAATTTCTCTCTAATGTAAGAATGTTCAGCTCTAATATCAAATTGATGGAGACTAGGGATACTCTAACAAAAATTGATGTAACATAAGGATTTGGTTTGATGTCAATTTGTTTATGGACCTTTTGCCATCTTCCCTTTTTTTTTTTTTTTTGAGATTTCCTTTGGAATCAAATTACACCTCGGCTAGGGTTGGTTATTATAGTAGCAGGCTAGTACTGTAGTGGGCATGGGATTCCATATCCATGACAAGGAATTATGGGAGGAAAGAGGGACACTTGAGGTAGGAGATAGAATATCACACAATTATCATGCGAAACAAGAGAATAAAGATGAGAGATTCGTTTTTAATTCAACTAATGGTTTAATAATCTTAATTATATGCCATAAAACTCTATTTATAAAACTAGGGATACAAGATAACATTAAATTAATTTTAATTAAAATTTAATCCAAATGTAGGGAACTAATAATTCTATCATCTAATTTAAAATAAATATATCCTAATAATTAAATGAAATAAATTTAGATAAATCTTAAAACATTCTAAAACACTATAAGTAATCTAGAATTAGTTTTTGATGCATTGCTTCCTTTCTTCTGCTGTCCCATCATTCGAGTTAAGCAGCAACCAGCAAGCATCTTGATTTGCTTTATCTAAATGATATATATGTGAAAAGATGGATCTTGGCTATGCAGCCTTGCTCAGGCTACATCTTTTGTACTATTTTTCAATTTAATTGGGTTATGGTTATACCCTCAAATTTTCCCTCCAAGAAATTGATGTGCTCCTATTTGAGTTATTGTGTTGATTCAAGTTTAATATAGCCAGCCACTGTCCTATTATGATTGGTCTCTGCTCTGAGTGTCTATTTGACTATTTCACTGGAACTCATTAAAGTCAATTTACTTGCTTTTCTGTTTATTTAGCAATTTGTTTGTTGTTATTTGATTCCAGTTAAATTTTGCAGGAACTTAAGATGGAATAAGCTGCAAGATACACTCCCTGCTGAAATTGGTGAACTTAAGAAGCTAACTCATTTGTAATTTGCTAATAGCTCACGCTTCTCAGCTTTCTTCCGTTGTTTTCTGGAAATCACGAAGTCTAACTATTGGTTCTGCAGGTATCTGAGCTTCAATAGTTTCAAGGGTGAAATTCCTGTGGAGCTTGCTAATTTACCGAACCTTCGTTATCTTTATCTACATGAGAATCGTTTCACTGGAAAAATTCCGCCGGAGCTGGGGAATCTCAAAAATCTGAGACACCTGTACAGTCAAATATCCTTTCCACTGTCTCCTTTTTTTCACTTAAAAAATATTCTCCCCTTTTTCCTTGTGAAAATTGGCTTTTGGAAACTACCAAAACAAAGTAATGAAAGTGAATTTTTGCTATTATAAACAATAAAAGAAGTGAAATGATCCACCAGGAAATGACATTAATGAAAAACAGATTTCCTATTTTATCCGTGAGATTTTGCATTCTTTGTGTGCAAAGGTTTACAAATTACTAACGCGATATTCTAACAATCCATGTTCTTTACAGTGATGTAAGTAATAACCACTTAACAGGAACACTTAGGGATCTCATCCGCAATGGTGATTGCTTTCCTGCTCTACGCAACTTGTAAGCTGATAACATCTCATTTATAATTCTCTTGGATATAATTCCTTGCATGTATTAAATTGTGAGATCAACAATTCCGTACTCAAATTTGTAGGTATCTTAACAATAATCTATTAGGTGGAGGTCTACCCGATCAACTTGCCAATCTATCGAATCTAGAAATTCTGTGAGAGTTCTCCATTGAACTTTTAGCAACCGGATGTTTTATGAAATTTCTCTGTACTGTTGATTTATCACGAATTCCTTTGACAACAACTTTTGACTGCTGCTTACTTCTGATTATAGGTATCTCTCCTACAACAGAATGAGTGGAGCAGTAACACCTAAGCTCGTCGAGATACCGAGACTAACCTATTTGTAAGCTAATTCTCCCTTGCACAGTGTCCTGAGTTGGAGAAATTATTCTGTGCTGAGGTCGGACGCAGCTCTACGTCCAGAGGCAAATCAGGTGTAGCCACGTCAGCAGTACCGAGCCACGGTACATAGCGAAGGAGTGATGTGGCGCATTCTGATTGGTCTCAGGACGACGTTTGACATCCGCAAAGAATAATTAAGGCCTGAGTTGAAGGAGGAACTTACAAGTTCCCTATTATCTGTTTCGAAACGATCGTCATCCTGACCCTGTTTACTTTTGTGTAATATCTCAGGTATTTAGACCATAACTCGTTCATTGGGAGAATCCCGGATGGATTGTACAAACATCCCTTCTTGAAGGAGATGTAAGTTTACCAAGTATATTACAATTTGGAAATGGCTTGCACTGTAACGCTGCGACATACTTACAATTACTGAACTGGAACACAGGTACATTGAAGGTAACAATTTCAAGCCTGGAACAAAGGCAAAGGGCACGCATAAGGTGCTTGATGTTATTGATACGGAGTTCTTGTTCTAGTTTGCATATTCAACTATCTGTCTTCGGAGTAAATAGTTTTTGTTTTTATCAATTAGCGCTGTTCATAGCTATTGCTGTCATGAATACTTTCCGAAAAGTGCTTTTTCTGCAGTCAGATGAAATTGAGAGCAGTAATACCTGTAAAATTTGGAGACCATATATAATATGCAGAATTTGTTATATGAAGAATATATGTGATTGTTTTTAGTTTGACGAAGGAAATATATGCTTATATCTACCTTTTATGAATGTTTTATTTTCGTATTTTCTTCTCATGTCTTTTTTATTTGATTGGAAATTTTATGTATTAATCCTGGAGGCTTATCAATTACTGCAATATAAGGCTTCGTTTCAAACGGCTTTTTTGCTCTTTCTTAAAGCAGCTTCCTAGTACAAAAATTTTAATTTTTATACTATGAAGCTGCTTTAAGAAGCAGAAAGAAAGTCGTCCCAAACGAAACCTAAATATGATTTCTACGGGTGAGAATACTATCTATAGAATTATTTAAGATTATTTCCTAAATTTTTTTATTTGCATGTGAAAAAAGAAGATTGATGCTTCTTTTCTTCCGAGTTTTAATTGAGCAGTTATATCTGTAAAATTTTTGAAGAAGAAAGTGTGAAAAACTATCAGCATCGAATCAGGCCCCTTGTGTCTCGAATGTCCTGCTGCCTTCCTTTTCCTACATGGAATGCCCCACCTCCAACCCAAGCAACAAATGGCTTTATTGTTTATGTCAATATTTGACACAACCCGAAAGTCCGATTCGAATCTGACCTGAAAGTTTTGGGTTCGGGTCAACCTGAATCAGGTCGGCTTTAGGTTAGGGATTTTGACCACTATTTGTAAAACTGTCGGGTTTGAGTTGAGTCGGAAAACTGAAATCAATCCGGTTTGACTCGTTTTTAATTAATTTAGGAGAGTTTTAAAAGATTATTATGAAATAAATAAATGCTATTTTCAAAAATAGTAAATCATGTTGCTGAAATTAAATTAAGCTTGGTTTATTTTAAATTGATTAAAGTAAATCTTACATTAATTTGATTTAGGTTTAAATAAATTAAATTAATAATAAAATTTTAGTAAAACATACCAAAAGTGGGTCGGGTTCGAGTCTGAAAAATTGACCTGTTTGTAAAAACGGGTTGGGTTTGGTTCCAATCAAATAGTGTCGTGTTAGTTCCGGATTGGACTTGAATTCGACTCGTGACTCAATTTTGACAGCCCTCCTTTATTTTCCTCTATTTCTCCAGTTTTATTTTTTAGGAGAATGTCATTATGTAAATTGTTATGCTTTATGTTTTTCGTTTTTTTTACCCCTTTCATTGTCAGTTTTTTCCTTTCCTCCTTGGTCCTTGTATTCTCTATTTAAACACCAATTGTTCTCTCATTGGAATAAGAAAAAAAAAAGAGTATTTTTTTCTAAAAGGAATTTTAAAAAGGAGCACATTGAAAGTGTAATTAAGCAAAAAAAAAAAAAAAAGTTTATTAAACATTAAAAAAATAAAAATGCTAAATATTTGGCATTTATTGAGTGTTCTCTGAAGTCCATGGAGATGAGAATTGCAAATATATCATGATGGAAACCCTAGGTGCTCAACTTTCCCATAAAGCTTAATGCTTGCCTCTCAAGGTATGCTAGCCTTCAATGAAAAGTTTACAAAGAAAAAAAGATCATGGTGTGATCTTTGCTGGAAATTTGGACATGCAAAAATATTAGAAATTTAGAAACTCTATGGGAATCCTATTGATTGTAAATCTAAAAAATAAGATTGCGGCTTCTATGCGCTCAACAAAGACACTAAAAAATTACCCCACCCCCTATATTATCCTCATTCAATCAAGAGCAAAATGATATGTTGAAAAATGCGTGTCTAATTCCGATCAAATTAGAGCTATCTTTTTCAATAAGGGGTTATGCATCGAAGTTTTTGTGCTATATCCCTCAACAAAATGAGATTGCAAAAAAGAAAAATAGGCATTTATTGGAAGTTTCTAGATTTATTATGATTAGTAGTCATATTCCAAAATGTTATTGTGAATATGTTGTCTTTAATGTTGCAGACATCATCAATTGCATGCCATCAAGTACCCTAAAGTTCAAAAATCTCTATTAAGTTCTCATCAAAACCTTCCCTACAAATAAATTCATTCCCACCTTTACTCTCAAAGTCTTTGCTTTTCTACTTTTATTCACATTCCACCTTATGAAAAAGCAAAACTTAACCCAAAAGACATTCATTGCATTTTTATTGGTTACTTGCTTAATCAACAAGGTTACAAATGATATTATCAAGAAAAAAAAAAATTAACACCATGGATGTACATTTTTTTGAAAATGAACCTTTATTTTCTAAAATTTGCATTTAGGGGGATAATTTCAACTCTCCTAATTTACATGAGTTATGTGAAACATCTCGCTTATTTTATTTGAACCTAAATCTCTCCTTGGCCTAACCAAATCTCCTACCTATAGGGACATTGAAAACTTCCAAGATCACAAACAAGGAACGAAATACAAAGAATTATCTATTTCAATGTCAAGAAAATTAAACCAAAAAGGAAGGTCAAATCATTTCTCATGAGCCAAACATGCATCTGATCCAAGCCCCAAATATCCTTTACAAGTTGGTTAACTTTAATTTTGATATGAGATAAGGAGATAAGGAATAAAATGTTTATCTAATTCTTCATTGTTAGCACCCTGAGCCTTGGTGTAGGCCTAGTCTTTGATTTTGATGATAACAAATACATATTTGATGTGACTAATGTTTCAAATTTTGTGTTTCAAGTCTTCACAGATAATCAAGCAAAATCATGGAGAAAGCTACCTAAAGCTTGGGTGGAGATTGGGTTTGGAGTACTTTTTTTTTTCTTATAAATACTTACGAATTAATCACAATGCCTTTAAACATATTATTCCGGGAATTTAAAATTACATAAATATACTCTTTGGTCTGAAGTGTAACAAGTTGCTTTTGGCTTAAGTGTGATTTTCAACTTAGTCATGTCATATCTTATTTGTTTTTCTGTGATTAAAATTTTATTTTTTTGTGGGGTTGAGAGCAATTTGTTGAAAAATATTCCTATGTGAGATCTAAATTGTTACACTAATTTTTACCTTTCTTTTGTGAATTGTATTATTACTGTGAGGATCTCATGGTCGTATGAGGGGTTGTACCGTCTTTGTTGTAAGAGAGGTATGGTTGCTTGTAACTAAAGGATTTGGTCTTAATTGTGGGAGCTAGGCGTGGAGTAGGCTGGTTTGGGTTTGGGCCGAACCAAATAAAATTTATATGTTCTCTTTATTGTAATTGCTTTATTTCTTATGTTATTAATTTTTTTTTTTTTTAGTGCACAACACAATTCACACATTCCTCCCCCAATCGGGTTGTCATGTTATTTCTCATTTATGAAGGATCAATATGATCCTCAACTATTTAAAAATCTCATTTTAGCGCTTTAACCTTTTAAGTAAGACCTAAATGATTCAACAAAAAGACTAATTTGGTCCTATGTAAAAAATCAAGGGACGAAATTTATACTTATATATAAACGGGGATATTTTAGTCATTTAGAAAAAATGTTAGAGATCAATTTGATCATTTTCTATAATAACTTTACAATTATCTTTATAAAAATCTATAGTTGTCCCGAACGGACCCTAAAAGAATAAGAAATAATTAATTGTAAAATGAATTAGTGAAAAATCTTCCCCAAATAGAGTTTCCTTACATGCTTTATTTACAGTTGCTACATATTGGTTCAAGTTCCCATTGACACGTGTGAAGCATAAATTCCATACAAATTGGAGAGCTGAAGTTAGTAACCTACTAACCTTTAATACCCAAAAATTTCAGATTAAAAAAAAATGTGGATTAATTAAATTAACCTAAAAATTTATACTAAAGTTTGAAGTTTAATTATTTTTAATTACTATTAACAGCTAATTACTATAAACTATTAAATTATTATTATTTATTACATTATTTAATTATTAACTTATTGTTTATTATTGTTAACTATTAACTCAAAGCACTAGCAATACGTATTTTCATATTAACTTAATGTTAAATTAACTTAAGCATTAACAGTAACTTAATGTTAATTAAATTATTAATTTGGGATAAATTAATTTTATTCAATTTATTGGACAATTGATTTGAATAAAGTCTAGAAATTAAAAAGTAAATTGTAGGTCATTTACAACGAAAAAGAGTACGAGATGTCGGATTCGAGGAGACAACTCATCACAGAGGTAAGAAATGTAATTTTAATTTAAAAATCAAATGTTGTTAATTATAAACATATACAACTATATTTGAATTAATGGAAGGGAGAATTGAGAAAGACATTAAAGTAATCATTTTGTTGAGAGTGTTCAAAGTCAAGTATTCAGATATGAACGATCACATGCAAATTTGAATAATTTAGTATTAAAATAAGATATAATATGATTACATAAATGTTTTTCTAATTTGTAACATTTTGAATAAAAAAGTATTAAGTTATGTATTGCTTGCTTATTTTTTTTAAATAAACCTGATTGTAGAAATATCTTTTATTAATTCATAAAACATGACAAATTAAGTATGAAGCCTAGTGAATTTCATATCAATGAAGGTTGACAATAAAATGTTATTCTTCGATTTCGATTACTTGTTATTTTAATTACTTGTTTATTATTAAGTAATATATGCATACATTTTTTTTAAATAATAAGAAGATTGTCTAATTAAAAAATGAGTTAAAATATTATCATCAAAATTTTATCAATGGATTATGAATTCATTAGGTGTCATATAAATTTTGATTGATTTTTTACCTATTGCATTATCCCAAAATAAGAGCCATATTGGCCAAAATTTCTTTAGTATTCTCGTCGCGACTTATGTTATAATACAAGAAATTTGATAGAACACTAAAGGAAATTCACTCATTACCGGCGGTTACTACTTGTTTTCCGGCGGTTTGGTAAAAAACCGGCGGCTTCTCGGCGGTTCAAAAACCGCCGGTAAAAACGGCGCCGGAAACCTTTTCTGGCGGTGTTTTACCGGCGGTTTTCCGGTGATTAATACCGTCGGTTATCTTCCGGCGGCCTAAGCGCCAGTGACCGCCGGTTTTGTTACCGGCGGCGTACCGGCCGGTCAACGGCCGGTTAGTTTCCGGTGGTCTAAGCGCCGATGAGCGCTGGTTTTGTTACCGGCGGTCTAAGTGCAGGCGGACCTTATTGAGAAATTTCTGGTTGAATTGAACCATTGCTCATAAATTTTTATCATCATTTCATTCCATGTATATGAGTTTAACAAATCTATTTCTTTAGTTTAATGCGATTTAAGGTCTATTTGAAATTGTTGTAGTTTTTTATTAATGTGGTTGTAAAGCTGCTGTAAAAAAACATATTCCTAATTATTGAAAACATTGTAAAAGTAATAATCAATTATTATTGTGATATGAGAAGCAAAATATTATGAAAGTTGTCCCAAATGAAGTCTTAGGCTTTGTTTGAGATAGCATTTTTACTGCTTCTTAAAGCAGTTTTTTAGTACAAATTAACAACTTTGAACTAAAAAGTTGCTTTAAGAAGCAGTAAGAAAGTCATCCCAAACGCAACCTTAGGCTTCGTTTGAGACGATTTTCTTACTGTTTTTTAAAATAGTTTAATTTTTTGTAAAAAAACTATTTTAAAAACTAATAAAAGAAGTCGTCACAAATAAAACCTTAGTTTATTCAACCAACTCTATGTTATTCACAAATGAGTGGTAAATATTACTTCAATATGTCAGCAACAAAAAAGAAAGAAAAAAATTGCCGGCAACAAATAGCAGGAAATGGCCAAAGGCAATATTTAATTTTTTTTTTAAATAAGATAATTTATAATATAAAATTTTGTTTTATTCGCTATGTATGTTTGATTTAGTAAAAGTGGAGGAATTATTCTCTTAATAGAATTTGATATGATTACTTGTAATTGCAACTCTATTTAATCTTTTTTATAAATTTTTTATATGCAAAGCCTCTCTCTCTCTCTCTCTCTCTCTAATACCTCTTTGAAAAATTCACATGATCAGGATAGCTATCGAAGCAATATTTCAATTATAAATTTTTGAAATTAAATTTAGGATTATTCGAGTTTTGATTTCAACAAATAGTAGAATAGAACGTATTGGTAATATGAATCAATCGGCACTACAAGTGATATGATCCTACTCCAAGTCATGCACGTGAAATATATTTAGAAACATTTGAACATTTATTGAAGGAACTAATGATATTCAATTATAATATGCTTATGGTCAAATAATTCAGCTCAACATGACGAATCTGATGAGTCTAAGATCATGCAATTCTTACGCCATTAAGTCATTGGAAATTTTGATAAAAAAAAGTATGGTTAAGTGTGCCAATATTGATGTATGATGGATTGTATTTATTCTAATCATATTTACTAAAATGCCCTTATAAAAAAGTCTATCAATAAGACTCCATTCTTTATGTGAGAGGAGGGCTGAGAGTTGAGATAGATAAAAAACTCTATTAAATTTTCAAGCAATCATCATCGATGAACACTATCAATAATCTTCACCACCATCATTAGATTTATGTCATGTGATTATTTTCACTTGACTATAAACATATAATACTATTGTTGAGTTTTATTAATTTTTATAATCCAAACAATAATAATATTGCAGGCTATAATATACGTGGCGATAGAGTTAGAATTTTTCGTCTCAACGTTATACGGATATCCAGCACACAAACATAAGAGAAATAAAACATCAGGATTTTTTTACTTGGAAACCATGGAAAGGGAAAAACCACAGGGCCACGCCCAGTTGAAAGAATTTCATTAGTGTTTGCTTGAGGTATAAGAGGCTGACTCATCCTTAAAATTTAAGACAATCATATTACAATAATCCACTCACTGATTGAAATTTAATTACAAACAAGAATTTGAGATTCAACGATGTTGGGTATTCGGGCTGAATTCCAGAGTCACTTGAAGATCAAGCGGAATTTCGGCATCACTTGGAGATCGAGTGGAGTTTTGGCGTCACTTGAAAGTTGGGCGGAACTCCGGTGTCACTTGAAAGTCCAATGGAACTCCGATGTTACTTGAAAATCGGGCGAAATTCCGGCGGTGGTCGAGGAGGAACTTTTTCCCTCCTCTTCTTCTTCTTACTTGGGTCTCCTCTAAATAGAAATGATGGGATATTTATAATTTTTTGAGAATGGTATGACCTGTAAATAGGAAGAGGATCAAGGGCAAATGATGAGTGGTTTGGATGGATGGTCGATATTGAATCCCTTGATTGTGGACCGTTCGTCAGACATTTGAAGGTCTTAATGATCTCAGAATTTGGTAATCTTGGGCTCGTTGGATTCATCTCGTCGAGCTGCTTGATTCGACTATAGGCATGTCATGTTTGGAAACTGTTTGGTAATCCAAATTGTGGTTTGAACCTTCCAACAACGCTTCAGGTCTTTGATTCGGATCATTTGGGCTCGGATTGAGTTGAATTTGGTTTCGTTGTGTTTGTATTTCTGAGATGCTCAGTTCGACTGTAAGATTGCTGAAATTAGAGTTCAAATGATACCATATTTAATTTTTTAACCTTCCGGTCTGATGTTGCCTCGAGATTTGTGCCCGATCAAGATAATTTTTGGATGATATATCAAATAACAAGACAATTGTTCTCAACTTTGTGTAATCTCATCTTCTTTAATTATGAAGATGGAGAATTACATATTATAAATTTCATTCTTTAGCGAATTCATTCAGTTGAGCCAAACCCTCTAGTTTCTCTCATTCTTGGAGTTTATTAAAATTTGTTTATAAAAGAATTTAATATGAAACTAAGACATAAAACACATACTCTACCGTTGTAAATTTTTTCTAGCATGCTAAAGTTTTCATTAAAATAGGATTTAATAGAATTTTAGTAAATATGATAAATCCTATTAAAAGAGGATTTAATAGTATTTAGTAAACCTTGACGGTATAATTATTTGATTGCGAAATTATTTAATAGGATTTGGTAAATAAATAAATTGATTGATCAATTCTTTAATCCACGTAGATCTCATGATTGTTTGATTGTAGCTACAAAAATTTGGTAATTAAAAAAGATTTAGTAAATTTTATTTAAGTAAATTTGTTAAATCTTAGTTTTGTTGGGACTTGATTAATCTTTAATTTGAGTTGGTATTTATCAAATCTCACTAAATATAAGATTTTCTTAAGGCGGATTTAAAACAGATGTTAAATATTTAAAATAAATGTCTAGTCTAAGTTAAATACTACTTAAAATTGTCAAACATAGAAAGCCTTAATGGGCTTACCAAGTCCACTGGTTCCCAATGAGATATTGTCATGGCTTTAAGGTCGGGAAAAGTAGACGAGGATGAACTATTAGAAATCGCCTAAAAAAAGATTGGGAAGAAGATTTACCATCAAGGAAATCAGGATCCTTCACACGATTAACCGTCATGACGATCGGAGCACAAACAGAGAAGATAGATCGCAAAAAGATCAGACAAAATAAAAAAAGGGCACAACTAAGGAAGAAAAACCAGAAGAACCTGGACATTAGTGGCCAAAAGAGGCCGGGAAGGCCGACAACCCCCAAAGAACGAACCCTAGCAGAGTGCGCGGAATGAGGAACATGATTAAAATAACCTTTGAAAAAACTAGAAGAATTGACAAGATCTCATTTCATCTTTCATACTTTTTCGTCATCTAGGATTTTGTGGATTACAATGACAATATTGATGGAATTTAGGGTGATTGGTATTTTTAACTTGAAATTTTGAGCAGTATGCAATTAAATAATTAAAAAAAACGACTTTAAATACGTCACAATTGTAGAAATTGGCCAAGTTAATTATTTGTTTTATTGAAGAAATATGCCCAAATGTTCGTTCCGAACGAAGTTACCTCACTAATATTTGTAGATTGCATATGTAAGCCCGCGAGGAATTAAAATGGTTCAAAGTTTTGAACCTTCATTTGAACATGATTCTAAACTAATTCAAACTTTTATCCTTCTAGCAGTCTCTAAGGTCACAAGTCCCATGAACTCCTCTTCATTGGCTTTGAACATTGTTGGTCTCTCAAACCATTAGCTCCTGCAACACAAAGAACTCCCCACGAACTCCTCTTTGACTGCAAACAACAAACTCCCAACTAACTTCTTAGCCAGTCCCAAGAACACATTGGTCCTACGAACTGATTTGAACATCATCGAGGTCTTGGGAAAACCGTATATCCTAAAAACTAGTTCAAGTGTCACTGGTCTTCCAAACTCTTTGTGCACACTATTAATCCTGCCATTGCCTTCCTCATTGAGCTTCAATCCTTACGATGAAATTCTTAATGTTATATTTACAAAATTTGAATCGAGGTCTAGTCCTCACTTGAATCAATTTCAAATGACTTAAACTTTATTTGAGATAGCTTTCGTACTGTTTTATTATAAAACAGTAAGAAAGCTATCCCAAACAAAATCTTATAATTCATAACTGATATGCAAATACAAGATTTTTTTCCTTAGTAGAAGTAATTTAATCTAAAATGAACATTCAAACTTTTTTCTATATATATAAAAAAAACTATCAAACATATATAGCCAATAAGCCAATTTAGGTTATTATGAGGCAAAAATTGAAATTCCTTAAAAAAAAAAAAACGCGTGAGATGTGACGTAAATAGGGAAAAAAGTCAATTAATGAAAGACCCTGCAGTTTACCTTTCTTTATCGTCTTTGGTGATCGGTTTTTGCTACTCGAACTTTCCTTTTCTGAGAAGAGAAATTACATTAAACTATAAAGAAATAGTAAAAAAATGGGCGGAGAAAACTTCCACTGGTTCTTAATGGTCTCAGGGGCTCTTAATGAAGTCGAGGAGGGACGGGGGGATAAATTTGACCAAAAATTTCAGTCAAATCCTCCAAAATTTCGATTCCTCTCTTCTTCATCTTCCTCCCTCCTCTTTCTCGATCTCTTTTTTAATCAAAGCTGCCGCCTTTTTGTCTTTCGAACCTTCCAAGCAAGACTCCCGAGCGCCGCTTATTGTATTCGTTTATTTTAGAGTCTGGGCAGCTCGGTGTGATATTTAGGCGGCAACTGCAAGCGAGTGATTTATGATTCTGTAATTGGCGTGGATTTTTTTGCTGGAGCCCCAGTTAGGTCTTGGGGCTTTGTTGGATCTTTTGGCGATTTCGAAGAAGGCTTAAGTACGGCATTCGGGGCTTTGGAAGACAACCAGATCGAGATTAGGGCAGAATTTGATAGCTGGTAAGAACTTCGTTTCTGTGTTCGAGTAGTCTCCGTTTCTTTTAGTTTGTTGTTACGTTTTTTATCTGATCTATTTCTATTTTTTTTTCTTTAATGCTATTCGGATTAAGCACCGATGATGATTTGAGTTTCTATTTTTGATAGGAAAAAGATAAAGAGTTTTCTGTTCTTGGAGGAGAGGATCTTTGGATTCTGTAATAGGCTTGTGATTCTTGAATATGTCGGCAGTCCAGGAGCAACTAGAAATCAAGTTCAGGTTGCCTGATGGATCGGATATCGGCCCCAAGAAGTATACGGAGGCTACGACCGTTTCCACTTTGAAGGAAAGCATTCTTGCTGGATGGCCCAAAGGTTGTTCCCAATGCAATGATATACTAGATAAATTTATTTTGAAAATCGTTGCTAGTTTACATATTATGTTAGCAAGTTTGATCCTGCTCTTAAACCAATATTGGATTTGAAATATTATAGATAGTCAGGCGCTATTTATACATGATGGAGTTATTTTTAGATAGTTTAGAACTAGGAGCTCTACCTAGAATGTTTTTCTTGTTTTACATTCTAGCCTTCTGTCATTATTTATTTGAGGTTCTCTGATAGCCATTATTGAATCAAGGTTAGCTCTTATTTTTTTACCATTAAGGCAAAAGTTTAGTATGGTTGAAGTAAAAAGGATTTTACTGTGGTTGATTTTCATTGATGAACGTTATTCATACTTCATGATGAATTCTTCCATGACGTGGGAATGGTTGGATTAAAGATGTAGGTGTCCCATGACTTTTTGAATCGTTCATGTAGACTTTTGTAATACAATGAACACAAATGTAGTGTGTCCCGAATGAAACTGTAGGCTGAAGGTTCTTTTAATATTTGTTGTGTGAGTTAGGAAAGGAGTATTGATGATCATACATGTTCATTTAGAATTAATTTAGTTGTGACTTGTGGGAAGCAGTAAATTTTCAGTTTTTTATTTGGGTTTGCATAATTTGAGACCTTAATTTTCTGGTATGTATTATAGAAATATTTACCATTATGGTCAATTTATCTCGTTGCGTAGTACTTGTGCTTTTTAATCAACCTGACTTAATAACTTTCCATCTGTTTGATGTAGAACACGTACTTTTATGTTCTAAACTTTTCTTATTCAAGGAAATAGTTTTACTCCCGTTGGTGTCGTGAAATTATTCTGTATAGTTTTTAGTAACTTCTTTTATTTTTCCTCTTGTTTATTTACTGTTCACTTGATTAATAATGTACATTTAAGTTGAAGGACTTCTTGTGAGTCTTGTGAGAATTCTTGCTTTCTTGCTTTATATAAGCATGTTCAAGTGCATGTTTAAGGATGGGGTTAAAGCAAACAAGTGAATACTTGGATTAGCTCAAGACCAGAGTTATAGCAACTATTTTTTGGGTTGAGTTAGAAAATTTAAATTGAGGGCTCATTGGTTTTTATTACATTAATAAATTTTCTTTTTTGTTTTGAGAGTTTGTTTAATTTGGTTTTACTATGCCTCTACATTGTGGCCCTTTATTTCAGTTTTTTCTTTTATTCCAGTGGAAAATATTCTCATTTGCTCTATTGCTTGATAAATTTTTGCCTTTATAATATCATGAAATTTTGGAGCGTGCTTTTGAGATTAATCAACATTTATTATTTAGATTGTCTTTATTTTTTTTCCTCAATTAGTGAAAGTGCACATATTTTTAGGCTTATGTCGTGATAGCTTCTCCCCATTCTCAATTGAAGGAGCTATAGCTTTTTAGGTTTTACATATGCATTTACTCTTTTGTTATGTAACCAAGAAAGCTTCCCATGAAAACTAGCATCATTTACATGAAGTCTTTATTCTACATTTTTTGTTGTTTGTTTTCAAAAACACCTGTTAAAATGCTACTAAGCTTCACTTAGAAATAATAACATAATTGTGGTATGATCTCTAGTTATCCCAAGATGTGAGGAGAATACTTCCTTGACTCAATGTGTTCTAAAATAAATGAGATTATTGTTCCACTAAAGATGAGGTGAATAAAATTTTCCTATTCTTCATTTTGTTTTCTCTTTTTTGATGTATTTTATTGGTATATTTATGCCCTTTCAAATTCTCAAACATGCTCTGTATTCTAATTTTAATTTTGTTGCTCTCCATGTTCTTTGAAGAAGTTAGTAGTTAGGATAAGGATAACAACATAATGTTGTGGTACTTGCGTTTAATGAATATTTGGAGTCTTAGTTCAAAAGACGGAAAGAGTATGTTTTTAAGTTTTTGTTTCAATAGGATCTTCCCTTTTCTATAGATTTTTTTCCTTCCACATAAAAGAAATATGTTTGTTGACTACGGAGGGGAATGGGAAGGAGTTTTAATTCCCATTTTCAAGTTGATTGCCTGTTTTATTCCTAGTTTCAGTCTCTGTTCCATATCACGTTGGCAGGTGTGTTGTGCCATGAAATTTTTTAAGGAAAAAATGGTTTTATTGGTTTTTCTTGCATGTAAAAGAATGCATATGGAATGTGATTGGATGGGGTTTTAACTCTTACTTTCCATTGCATTACTTGGTCCATTCCTATCCCAGACCCAATCTTTGTTCCACATGGCATATGGAATGTGATTGTGCATCCGCTGTTTCACGGGACTTCAACCATGTCTCCAGATCCTAATCATATTCAATTCTCTTTTTGACTGTCCACATGCTGTAGTCCACCCCTTAATTCATAGGAGTAATTAATGTTAGTTCTCTTATGGCCTTCCACAAGCACTTCCTATTAGATACCTCTTCCTTAATGACTTAAATATAAGCATTATCCCCTTTCTTTTCTAGAACTGTCCGTAGCACTTATCTTGGAACTTTATCATATGCCTTCTCAAATCAATAAATATCACATGTAGATCCTCCTTATTCTCTCTATATTTCTCCATCAAACCTCTCAATAAATGTATAGCTTCTATAATGGACCTACTCGGCATTAATCCAAATTGATTTTGAGAAACATCAGTATCACGCCGCAACTTATACTCAATAACTCTCTCCCATTGTTTTAAAGTATGACACATTAACTAATTAATTCCTCTATAATTCACACAATCTTGTGCATAACATTTATTTTTAAAAATAGGAATCAACACACTTATTCTCCACTCATATGGTGTCTTTTTAGTCTTCAAAATAATATTAAAAAGTTTGGTAAGCCAAAAAATTCCTTCTTCTCCCAAGCATTTCCACACTTCTATTGGAATATCATCAAGCCCAATAGCTTTTCCATACATCATTTTCTTTAGAGCTTCTCTAATTTCGGCTTTACTAATATGCCGATAAAAGCAAAATTATTTATTTTCATTTAGCGTGCTAAAGTCTCTAAAGTCAATCACAGTCTCACAATCTTCCTTGAGACTGCGATGACCCATACAGAGTTGGAGAGAGTCCAAGGATTGTTTGGTAGAACGTTTCTGGACTAGCAGGGGAGGAGACTTCGGAAAGTAGTTTTTTGCCTTGACACAGGAGAGTTCAGTGACGGAGTACCGGGAGAGATTCATATACCTTGCTAGCCGATTGGACCTCCTTTCTGAGAGTGTGCTAAAGGAAAACTTCATGAAGGGATTAACACCATAGATCCGAGGAACAGTTTGAGTAATGAGGCCTCATGACTTGGGAGAGGTTATGGAGCTTGCTCAATTGGTAGAAGACCAGAGGCACCTGAATGGAGAGATGGGAGACAGCAGCTCAGGAGGCTCGTATAGGATGACCACCACTTTATTGAAATCCAAGGAGCCAACACTGGATACTCTTTGGGGGACTTTGAAGAAAAAAAATTACAGGGGGAAAACCTGGGGTCAACTTCAAAAAGCTCACATAGATAATTTCAAGAAAAGAGGGCGAAGGGGCTCTGTTTCAGATGCGACGAGAGGTATACGCCGGGGCACAGGTGTAAGGACCGAACTCTTCAAGTTCTTACCGTTTGTGATGAAGAAGGAATGGAGGGTGTCGTCTTTCCACCTTGCGGATAAGGTGGATCTTTGGGAGGGGAGTATTGTTAGACCGGTTCATTGGATCTCCGCCTCTTTCGGTAGCCGATCGGTCTGCACGAGCCAAACCAGCATTTTAGGAAGGATTTTTTAGGGTTTTGTGAGGGAAATTTGAATTTAGGGACTATTTAGAGATTTCTTTTTGATTTATATGCATTAAATATTTTGTTTTCCTAGGGTTAGAGCATCTTGAATTTGGCTGAAATTTGATATCTCTTAGATTTAGGTTTTCTTTTAGCCTCTAACAGTGTCTAGAGATTTGGGAGAGATGATCCTCCTCTCGAATAGAGGATCAATTGTATCTTGTTGTTTTCCGTTTCCCTTTTATCAAATAATACAAATTATCCACTATTTTTGTGGATTTGTGTGGATTTTGGTAGAGAAAGCTCGTTGTTTTTCGAAGATTGATAGGAAATACTTTAGATCTACTAGTACTTCCTATCATTTTGCTAACTTATACACATATCTTTCGCCCTCCTTAGTATCTAATCTATTTTATAAATTATTAAAATCTATAATATTTGCATTGCATATTACTCTCTTAGACTCCTTATGGGTCTTTTTATATCTTTCCCAATTATCAGAATTTTTACATCTAAACCAATTTTTATAAAAAATCTTCTTATTTCTTTTCTTGCACATTTTGATTCTACCACAAACTATCTTTTCTATTAAGAATTTTTCTTTTTGATACTCAAAGCACATCTTTTGTAACATTCTTAATATCACCAGTTACTTTTTCCTACATAACATTAATTTCCTCATGCATAGACAAAATCTTAAGATCCAATATCTTACTATCAAAAATATTTTTATTAATATTCTTTAATACTGTCGACAAAATATTTTTATTAATCTTAGGAATGACCTTTCTTTATTAGATTTAAACGAGAATTTGGCTTTTAATAGGACACAATGGAGAAAAAGGATTCATGTAGCCGACCCCACGTAGTGGGATAAAGGCTTGATGTTGTTGTTGTTGTTGTATTCTTTAAAAGTCCTATCTAATTCTAGATCAACTTTATACTCTATTTTTTATTTTCTTCCATTCATCTTAAAGTCTAAAACTAATAAGCGATATTGAGTACGTAAACTTTCACTCGGAATAGCTTTATAATCTTTGCTATCTAAACGATCTATTTTTCTTATAATGAATAATCAATTTAAGTTTTACTATATCCATTCTTATAAGTGCTGAGATGCTCATCTCTTCTCTTAAATAAGGTATTAATAATTGCAAAATCATAAGCTAAAAAATCTTTAATATGTTCTTACCACCTTCATTAGTTGCTCTAAACCCATTATTTTGAAGATTATTCAATCCTTCAATAT